ATGATGGAATTAGAAATTATAGTTCTCGATAAGGCTGGAGAAGAAGCTGAGTGGCTAAGAGATTTTTTGGAAAATGTTCTCATATGGCCTAAACCTGTAATGGCAATATGTATACACTGTGATAGTTTAGTTGCAAATATCAAGCTAAAAATAGTGTATACAATGGAAAGTCTATACAAATTAGACGAAGGCATAATACAATAAAGCAATGGCTCTCTAGTGGTGTAATTTCTATTGACTATTTAAGTCAAATGATAATATTGCGGATCCGCTTACTAAAGGTTTGTCTAGAGAGCAAGTTAAGCATACATCGAGGGGAAAGGGTTTAAAGCCAATAGAGTAAAATTAAACTGCCAAACGGAAACCAAATCTAGCTGATTGGAGATCCCATGGTCTAGGTTCAATAGGCAAACTGGTTTAGCTAGATTCAAAGAAAAAACACACTTACATACCCATTCCTATGATGGAAGAAGTGTGGTGATTGCTGATGGGTGTAGGATACTTTAGTTTAATGATATTAATACTTGTAAATCAAGTGGAATAGTAGCAGCCTATTCTTAATCAATATCACCTATATGAGAGTAAATGTGGGGTTGCATTTATGAGAATTACATGGCTACATTCTCTAAAGCTCTCATGAATCCATGATCTGTTCAGGACCAAAAAGAACACAAACGTATGAATTTGTGATGTGTTGGTGTGGCATATGTTTTGCTTATTGTCTTGGTTTACTTTGGAGATGAACAGTTCAAGATTTTATATTCACTGCATCATCTAGTAAATCCAATAAGTATATACTAAGGTAGGTTCAAGTCCAAAAGACACATCTCCTAATGTATGTCACATCTATTGTTTACTCTCATATCTTAGTTTCTCAATGACCAAATAATCATCTCAAAATGTGGGGTATTGTAAGAGTTTTGAGACTCCTATTGTCCCACATTGGGAAACATTGAATTGTCAATGGCCTTTATATAGGTCTAGTCCCTTATACTAGTAGTTAGGATTTGGACCATTTGGAAATTAATAGAAGGCTTGGGCCTTATGGCTATGGGATTAGGTTTGTATAATATAGCCTAATACAATTAATATTAATTAATCAAGACAAGGGCCTTGGGGCCTTGGAAGTTAAAATTAATCAGATTCATTAATTTTAATTTCAGTTTAGGTTTTTAATTAATTAATTAATTAAAAAAGTTTTGATTAAGAGACACAACTCTTTCTAAGAGTTGTGTATTTTCAAATACGCTGAATAGGTATTTGAAAGGGTGTGAAACAACCTATATATCTGCAATCATAATTTCCAAGTATGATCATCTTTTCTTTCGTACAAAATTCCTAGAGAGTAAACACACAAAATAATTCACTAGAATTCTATAATCCAGTACAAGTTGTAGAATTAGGTAGTTGTATCCTGGTCGAGCAGACATTGTAAAACCACAAACATAAGAGTGGGACGGAAATATTGTTCGAATGACATAGCTTTTGCACTAGCCTTTACCTTTGATTCAGTCAAGTTAGTATCATTTTAATTTCTTTATTTATTGTGTAATTTCATTCTGTATTGCAAGTATTTTTTAGTAATAAAGTATAAGTATTTCAAGTTCTGTATTTCTGTTATTTTTGTTTCTAAATTGTTCTCTAACACCTACTACAGTACCATAGTGTATATGATCCAATATTTAAAAAAAACTCACCTCGGGGCGCGCCTAGGCGACCTTGGAGGTAGGGCGGCAACATTTTTGCCTCTATTTATGGGATTCAACGAAATAATCGCCTAGGCTATGTCAAAGCACCTAAGTGGTTGAAGTGCGCCTGAGGTGTCGACTGGGTGGCCATTTTTCTTTTTTAATTTTCAAAATTTTTGAGTTGCAGACCATGAAGACTAGCAAAGGAAATGAAAAAGACGAAGAAAACAGTTGGGTTTTTTAAGATGAGTCGTTCTTTATATATATTTTTTTTTCTTTTTAAAACTTAAGAGCTTCTCCAACCAGGACTTTGATTCTACGATAGAGGCTCCAACGTTAGCTTTTGGCATCATATCTTTCTCCAACCAATCTACTAAAGTTGAGTTGGAATTTGCATCAAGCTCCTGGCATCAAAATAGATAGCACTTTCAAATCCTTTATTTTGATTTTTTTTGAATATTTTTCACCGCTTCCAAAGTGGCTTGTTTATTTTTTATTGGTTTGAGTCCCACCAAAAAGTAAACATAACATATTTTATATATGTATGGTTCCACTTGAACACAAAAAATTAAAAACTTACGTCCCCATTGGAGTTTGAAAATTTAAAGATGTTATTTCAGTGCCAACTCAGTCATCAAATACAAATTAGACACATGTATTTTGACATCTTTATTGCATATGTTCTAAGCAGACCCCACTTTGACATTTGTTACCCTGTTATCTTCACTTTTTTTTTTTAGTATTTTTTATATTAACCCAACTTTAGTGACATTTATTTACCCCACTATCTTCTTTCCCCCTTTTTTTTTTGTCAAACGATAGATTTATTATGACTATTTTTACTATTTTTTTATACTAGAAATTGGTTGACATGTTAATCGCAATTAACAAGTACTACTCCAGAACATATGTAGGTCCTTATTTGGTAAGGGCAGATACTAAGGGTGCAACTCAGGCTGATTGGGCGGGTTGGAAGGTCAACCCAATCTTAACCCAACTTTTACAATTCAGGATCGGGTTCGGGTTGGGTTTCAATTGGGTTCATTTGGGCTTGGGTTTAATTGGGTTTGGATTTACTTGGGTTGGATTCGGGTTGCCCAACTCTTTCATAATGTGCCCAAACTTTAGAGGGGTTCATATACTCTTTTGCATTTAGATGGTACCTGAGGTTTAAATGTAGCATTTTGAGGCTCTCCAGGAGCAACTAGCAGAGGCTCTCTTGGAGTAGCTTGATTATGTTTTGCCATATATGTATATGTAGACATGTATATATATATATGTATATGTATATATACACATATACATATGTATATGTACATATCTACATATGTATGTGTATATATATATATATATATATGTACCAATAGGTCCATTAATTAAGGAGAAAAGGCTTACTGTTTTGTTTAGGCAGAATGAAAGAGGTAGACTGAGTTGTTGAGCAATTGCTTCTAGACATAAAGAATTTAGGGTTTGGAGACTAACAATTTAATATATACCTTTAGGGTTTAGAGACTGCAAGTATGGGTTGACTAATCAAAGCCTCTTATTCTTTTCTTCTTCTTCTTTTTTAATGAAAAGAAAAGATTTTTTTAGCTCGGACCCAAAATCCTTTACGATCAATTAAGAAATCAATTAGGGAAGAAGATGATGCAATGGATTGGATTATGGATTTAAGGGGTAATTTATTAAAAAAAATATTAGAAAGGATGTGGGTTTTTGGACTTGGCCCACTTGATTGTAATATGAGTTTTAATTGATATGGGCCATAGTCGGGTTTGGTTAATCGGGCTGGGTTGGGTTAGGGATGGACGGGCAAATGATCAACCCAACTCAACCCAATTAATGAACGGGTTAAAATTGGGTTGGGTTCAGGCGAGTTATAACTAAAAAAAATCCCCTTGTTCGAGTTTAAAGTCGAGTTAGACAGGGGCGGGTTCAAATTAGTCCAACCCAAGTTGCAACCCTAGCAAATACACACATATTCAAAGCATTAAAATCCTAGATACGCTTACTAAGTATGCATCCATAGAAAACACATAAAGAATTCATCACTGACATAAGTAGTGAACCCATTTTCATCTTTTCATAAAAGAAATTGAAATGAAATGTCATAACAAACTTGCAACCATAATCGGGGCTTCAAAACAGCCCTAACTTCTGGAAATAGTTACACATAATTCTTAAATTAAACCAAAAGAAAGACATGGGTTTGAGACAATAGAAGCAAAAGAATCAAGTGATGTCTCATCTTCTCTCCTTCCTTCCCCTCCCAACGCTACTTACTGCCCCTTTTTTTCCTCTTTTTTAACTTAGCTTCCTTTCTCCCCTTTTCATAACCTTCAAAAGGTGTAAAATTTTCCACATCATGACAATTCAATCCTAATTAAAGCCAATTAGTAGTGAGACTTGTGGTTTTCTTGGCTGGATCAGTTTTGATTGCTAGGATTTATTGTGTTTATTCCTTTTATTGCTTGCTTGTCAGTTACAAACTGCTCAGCCTATTGGGAACTTTTTAGTGTTAAAACGAGCATAACTTCTTCTAAAAAATGATATTAACAAGCCGTAAAATGCTCCAGAAAATAGACATCTATAGCTTTCCAAGCATATAAGGCTCATTCTCTGATTTATTCTTAGCTATTCGCAACTCGCTGCCAAAGTCACCTGATCTACACAGGCAGTTTTAATGAATTTGTTATTTAAAATCTCACTTGTGCTATTTTTCTCTTCTTTGCTTGAAAATCCTACAAAACACAAAGACAAATAAATAGCTCAAAAATATAAGAAACTAAATAAAAAAAAAACAGGTGATTTGATGTAAATATCTCTACTAATTAATAAAACACTCATTGTCAACCAAAATCCTATGAAATTATCAGTTTAACCCTCTAATTAAAACAGAACATGAATAAGAAATATGGGGCAGAAATGTAATTTCACACAACCAAATTGTGCTATTTTTTTTTTTCAAAGCCTCACCTACATGTAATCCTAACATATCTTTAATTTTTTGTAAAATGAAAAATAAAAACTTCTCACTCCCATATTCTCTATCACTCTCTTCCTCTCTCCTTCTATTTCAAAAACAAAAATAAAAAAAATTTCTCACACACTTTATGTGTGCCCATATGCTAGTATATATATACATATAAGCGTATCAAAACACCCCTCAAACAAAAAAATCTATGACTGGCCAAAAATTAATCATTAATAGTTCAAAGGGTAATTTTGTGATAAAACAGATAATAAAAAACAATAAAAGAAGAAAAACAAAAGAAATTAACTTCAAAAGAAAAGAACGTGCAACTAGAGTTCTGAATGAAGTAGTTTTGTTGAATGAGAGATAACTGCCAAGCTCTGTAAACTTCTCCCTTTCACACGTCTACTTGCATCAGTTGGGATTATTTCCCATCTCTCTTTTAACTTCCCATTCTTGATTCCCCAAACCCAGCAAGCTAGGATCATAAAATATCAAAAGTCAGTCAAATCAGATTCTCATATCGAATTGTTTCTCTGCTCATGGTAGGTAGTATAAGATTCAACGATTTTTCTCTGTTTATAATTTTATATGCTCCGTCGATTTTATAATACGTTAGATACAGTTTATAGTGATGTCTCAAATTTGCAAGGCTTTTTTTCGATGTACGAAGTCATCTTTTTCCGTGGTTACAATTATTGTTATTCATTTCATAATTGGGTTTGAGTTTTTTTCTTTGTTCCTTTTTGGTACATTAGAATTATAAACCAAGGATAACCATTTTCATATTTGTTTTAATTTTTATTATTGTTGTTTATTCTTTTTACAGGATTGAAGTGAGAATCAGATTTGGGATCCAAGGAATGTTATCCTGCGAACAGTAATTTCCTTCTTTTTTTTAGCCTTTTTTATTTTCTAGTGTTCATTAGTTTTTCGCGAATCCTGATTTATATGTTTCGTTTTTTTAACGAATCATATCGTTCTACGCATTATCTAAAGTTGTTAATTGGGAATTAAATTGGATTCTGACAGGATCGGCAGACATGGAGTTAAATTGGATTTGGTTTTCCAGATTGAATGGCAAACATGGAGTTACCGCATCGTTCTTAACTACAGTGTGAAATTGAGTTTTTTTTTTACTATTTTTTTTCTATTAATCTCTCTTTTTCCACTCATGTGTTGGATTTGATATTTGGCTTAATTACATGTGTAGTTTCTTTGTGTTATTTTTTTCTATTGATTCCAATTTGATTTTTTTTTCTTTTTTGGTTCTTCTGCACTATTATTTTCTTTAGATTATATTTTGTTTTCTTTGAATAATGTTAACTCCCTCATATATCTTTTCATGTCTGTTTTTACAGGGCTTTGACTGTGAACTATCTATGCATCATGAATCGGTATTTTTAAAAATAGAAAATATAATATTAGTAAACAACTGATTATATAATGATTCAATATACCAATTGCAACTTTACATGTGTTTAATTCCCTTTCGTCTGCAGATGGCAAAATGTCAGCGAGACACTATCGGTTCCGCGAGGGTGCCGTGATGGGATAAGGATTGTCTGCCCTCCACTTCCGGTGTCCTTTCCATGTCCTCCTGTTTTGTATAGTCACGGTTAACCCACGTCAACATTTTATATTATTTTTTTTATAGATATAATAAGACAAAAATGAATAGAAATATAAAATGTTGACGTAACTTAACCGTGACCACACAAACAGGAGAGCACAGGGAGGGCATCAGAAATGGAGGGCAGACAATCCTTGTCCGCCATTATGACCTTGAATTTCCAGTACAGGTAATCCAAGCCAAAGTAGCTCCTCTAAGTACTCTATACTTGTTTTTTACTATTCTTTTTTTAACAAACAATATTATCTAGACTAAGGGATTGGGAAGTGGGCTGAACCTCACAATGGGTTAGCAATAATATTGTTCAAATTCGTCTTTGACGAGAATCGAATTTAAAACTTTCCACTTACCAATAAACAGGAATAACACTAGGTGCAAGACATAGCTTTCTGATGAAGAAAGAGTTGCTACAACTACTGTTCAGAGAACAAAGTAGAGACAATTAATTCTTATTAGATAAGACTCTATTATCGATTCAATAGATTATGTACAATTCTTTAGTTTGTCTAACTATTCAGATTCTTTTTTTATTATCGCACAATAGTACATTCAATAATGATGTGATGTACAACTCTTTGAACTTATAAGAGCTATGACTTATTATGTAAAATTGTAAATGGTTTATCGAATCATAATACAACTAGTTATTTAGTAAATATCTTATTCTCTATTTTTTAAACACATGCACACATTTTAAGGGGTGCGCAACGCCCATGACAAATGAAAGGCCTTTCACACGTGTGTATGTGCGTGTAGAAATGCTAGTATGTATAAAGTGAACACACCAAAATAGTGAGGCTTTCAATATCTCCGAAGTACCCTTTCCTAATTAAGATTTTAATATAAATAACTCAATTGAAAAGAAATCCAAACTAACAAAAATAAAAATTATAAATAAATAAAGAATAAGATGTAAAAAAAAAAAAAGAAGCAAATTGCCACATGCATGAGTCTGTGGCAAAAGGCTAGTAATTAATTCATTAAAAAATGGTCGATACAAAGGGTTGAGCCGCCTCAGCAGGCTTCAGGCATTACAATCAGTAAGTAAAACATCAGTAATGATATTAGGTGGTTCTTCAAATCACAAACATGTGCGGAGCTAGAGACGGCAAGTCGAGCAAGGCTGAGAGCAGCTTTGTTGTTTTGATGGCGTGTGTGGGCAGCTGTTACTCCAGTGATCGAGGACAGCAACACTTCGGAATCATCAATAATATTTCCGATCAAGGAATCATTAGGATGGCCATTGCAAAGAGCTGAGACGAATGGGGTGCATCACTCTCAATAATAAAATTATGAAATCCCCTCTGAGCCGCCAACCACCCCTTCCGAGCCGCAAGAGCTTTAGATATGAAGAGGCGATCAAACATACTCAAAAACCATAGTTCTCGCAGCGACCAAATGGCCAAGATGGTCACGGACCACAATACCCACACCTCCAGATTGATTTTGAATGTACATATGATTACTATATACAAATTAGTAATATGTCAAAATTGCCCAATATTTAAGAGCCTGTTTGGTATTCTACTTGAATCTAACTTTTTAAACTCAAAAACAATTTTCAAGTTTTAAGCCTTAAAAACTTGTTTGGTAGAACTATTTTAAAAAACTGAACTCAAGACTAACTCAAAAATATAGTCTATTATCTAAAAACACAAAAAGTGAGTTTTTAGAGTTTTTAAACTTAAACTCACTCATTTCTTTTCTCTCCCTCCTCCCCTCTCACTCCAAATCTCTCTGTTTTCTTCTCTCTCCCCCTTCTACTTTTTTTTTTTTTACTTTTTTCGTTTCTCCTCTAATCCGCTCTCTTCATTCTCTCAGTTTTTTCTCTCACTCCTCTTCCTCTCTATCACTTCCGATCTTCTCACTTCTTTCTCTTTCCTCCAATCATCTCTTACTTTTTTTTCCTCCTCTCTTCTCTCTCCTCTTTCTCTCTCGACCCCCTTTTTATGGATCTTTTTTTCCAGTTTAAGTTGTAAGATTTAAAAATTTTAAATCGCATACCAAATAAGTTTTTGAGTCTTAAATAAAATTGTTTTAAAGAAAAATTCTTAAGAAATGTTTTGAAAAATTATAAAATTTTCAAATAAGATACCAAACAAGTCCTAAACTTTCGACTCGTGGACTTAACCTTTCTAATTTTGGGAAAAGGGGTTTACCTCTTCCAATCAAGTGTGTATACTAGCGTTCAGGCCCAAAAAAATCGTGGTCATTAAGCATTTGATTTTAATCTAATGGTAAGTTGTCATTTAATTTTTGTTGTACTTTTTCATTTAACGTTGGATAAGATTGGACGGTGATTGACTAGGGTTTCTTAAGGCCTTGTGATCTATAAGAACGTGACTTACTAAAAACTAAGGTTGAAATCAAGTTTTTTCGGTTGTAAGAGTGCATCTTGGCTCACGACCCTTGAATGGTAGTGAATGCCTTTTTGTACTATGCAAATTTTGAAATTTAAAAAACTCATCTAAACCATAATTGATTTGACAGAGCAACATATGTTGGCCAACTTGAACTGCACTTAACTGAAGCAATCATCAGTCATCACACGTGCATAGACAACTCCCAACAAGGGGCGGGTTTGGTTCCGTTCGGTTTGCTTTTTGGCCTAAAATCAGAAACCAAACCGAAATTACTATTTGGTTTGGTTCAGTTCGGTTTTTCTTTAGTTTTTTTGGGTTCGGTTTTTTTTTTTTTTTTTGGTTTTTTTCGGTTCGATTTCGGTCCGGTTCGGTTTTTTCCATGAATTTTTTTTCTTAAATCTGGATATTGGTTAAGGCTTATTAACTTCAACCTTGGTGCAGTTGTATCATATGTGAAGATCCGGTAGACAATAAAACGATTAAATGGAAAAACAATGAAAGAAATGGCTAGAATCTTCAAATCCATGAAGCATTCCTATAATACTAGTCATCCAATAAAGATCCTCACACATTCAAATTACCAAAAAAATTAGAAAAAAAAATCTTTAGCTAAAAATAAAACACTTCAAATCAAATCCGTAGCGGTATAACTTGGGTTAGGTCAACTCAAATCCGCCTATGCCCAACCTAATTTTGAACCTAATCAAACAGGTAAAATGATGTAAAAAAATCGCTCAAATCCGACTTCTACTCGATTATTAATTGAGTTGGGTTGGGCTGATGCTTTGCCTGTCCATGTCAACCAAAAACCAACCTGATTTCTAGCCCGAATTGCTCATGCACATATTTATGGTCTCACTTCAAATTATATAAGTTACATACCCAAGTTTGAAAGGACTACACTCGAAGTCTGATGTTTGGCTTTCATTTGAAAAATCCGACTTCAACTCGATTATAGTGTTGCTTTTACGTTTCTTTTGGGTTAAACATTGGTATTGTCTTGTCATTTTATTTTAACTTTGCATGGTTGAAACTTTAGAAATGCATCTCACGCTATTTGGTTTATTTTTTGTATGGATGGTGATGCATAAAATTGAATTTTAAATAGTTTAGTGTTATTTGGTTCAAAATTTGAGATTTATTTTATAAAATAATGCGTTACCATTGGACAAACCCAAATCCAACCGTAGTAAGCACGAACCCAAATAAACCCGCATGAGCCCGAGTTCAACCTATACATGAATTAAGAATTTTAGATTACGATTGAGTTGATTGTCGAACCCGCCCAACCCGTTTGAATTTCACCTTAGTTAAAATTAGGGATGGATTCAAAAAACTGAACCGAACACCAAACTGAGACCGAAAAAAACCGAATCGAATGAAAAAACCAAACCAAATTGAAAAACGGAACCAAACCAGATTCTTTTGGTTCGGTTTCGACTTCAGTGGTCTAGAAACCGAACCGAATCGAATCGAATTAATTAAATTAAATTTTTATTATTTTATTTATTTAATTATCTGTATTGGGTATTATTTTTTTAAACCCAATTTGTAAGTCTAAATGTGCTAAAACTCAATGTGTTGCCAAATTTTAAGCCCAAAATATTAAAAAAAAATCCTTTAGTAACTCTAAGCTCTAACGTATTATTTCACCCCCTTCTTTTCTTTCACCCAAGCCTTACCTTACTATTTCTCCACCTTCTTTCTTTCTTTTTCTTTTATGTCTCTCTCTTTCATTTCTTTCTCTTAGACTCCAGCCACACCTTCATTCTTCTCTCCCTTTTTTCCTCCCTAGCCGGACCTTCATTCTTTTTTCTCTCTAATCATCCTCTTCTTTTTTTCTCCCTCTTCGTATTTTGTTGCATCAATAGTAGCCCACAAGTCCTACAAACCCTATACTTTGCCCACACTTGCCAAGTGAAACCCCAAAGAAAAAGAGTAAGCCAGTTTGCAGATTTTGTTCGATTTTTTATGTTGTGGGGTTGTTAGTTATTTAAACTTTAGCCAAATTAATATAATTGTTGTTGTGATTTGTAGATGAAGATAGTGGTTTGATGAGTATATGCGGTGTTTGTAAAGACATGTCCCCAAAAATCATAGTCTTTATCATTTTTAATACGTGAATTCATGAAAATGCCCTTCAAGGCAAAGACGTTGACTTTTGTTGACCACCTTGTCATGTCATGTAAGAATCATTTTCTTAGTGTATCCTCGTAGTACTCATCGCTACAAATGTGTGGGCGTAAACGGAACGCAAGTTGGAGTTATAACGAAGGAGATATTAACATTTAAAGTTGGGGGCATTTTAGTAAATTAATTAATTTCAAGAAAGCTCCTAAGTTTTGAAGCAAAATCTGGAAAGCCACGTGTGTGGCCCAGATTAAAAGGAAAGATGGGCAGTGGAGATGATAGATAAAGGAGAGAAATAAGGGGTGGGACGGCCAATCAGAAAGAAGAGAGAAAAAAGAGAACCAATGAGAGATGAGAGAAATGAGGGGAAATGAGATAAATGAGAAGCACATAATCAACCCTTGACTCGTGCGACCCGCAACCCGGTTGTAGTTGGAGGGTTTCTCTGGCGAAATTCATCGTTTTTCCGACAAATTAAGCCAAACCACCACTCCTAATCCTCATAGTGACCATTCCTCTACCATTTCTACATCAAATTTGAGGAGATTGGATTTGAATTTGGGAAGAAATGCACCGGTGGGTGTATCGGCTTCGGGATGGCAATCCATCAAATCCGAAGTTAACTCTGTCAACCACCACCACCACCAAGAGGCTCCCCTCAACCTCAGGAACAAAGTCCATGCATTGGTTGGGGCATCGGAGATGTTTTGGAGTCGAATCAAGAAATTAGGTTCCGACTGGTTTTTGTGAAATTGGGTTCCGACGGATTTTCGTGAAATTTGGGCTTTTCCCGGCCAATTGGCCTTAGCCACATGTATGAAAATTACTCCCCTCATTAAGATCTACATTCCTGTAAAATTTGGTAATTTTTAGAAATATTTGATTTTTTCGGCAAATCGGGATGGCCAATTGACAAATTTCCTTTGTTTGAATCTAGTTCCATTAAGATCTGCCACTTGATTATTATAACAATCGACGACCCAACCGTTGGATCATCACCAAATTTTGATACGTTATAATAAGTAATATTTGAGGATATT